AAAAGGGTGTGAAGCTATATGGGAACAGTTTGTATATGTTACTATAGTTAAATTTGTATTAGTTCAAACTAGATTGTTACAAACTTTAAATGTTAATTGTAATCCCTGTGGTGACCTTTAAGAACGTGTCTTAAAAATATACACAAAAGGAAATGTGAAGAAACAGAGGACTTAAGCAATACTATGAACCAATTAGACCTAATAAACGTCTATAGAACATTCCATCCAACAGCAGAGTATACATTCTTTAGTGCACATGACATCTTCTCCTTGATAGACTGTACCTCAAACTACAAAACAAGTCTCAATACATTAAAAGATTGAAATCATACTCATTTGTGGAGTATAACAATGAAGCAAAACTGAAGGAACAAAACAGCAGCAGACTCACAGACTCCAAGAAGGGACTAGTGGTTACCAAAGGGAAGGGGTTAGGGAGGGTAGGTGGGGAAGGAGAGAGAGAGAAAGGGATTAAGGGGCATTATGATCAGCACACATAATATAGGTAGGCCACAGGGAAGGCAATACACCAACATGGAGAATACAAGTAGTGACCCTATAGCATCCTACTACACTGATGGACAGTGACTGCAATGGGGCTTGGGGGGGGACTTGATAATATGGGTGAATGTAATAACTGCAACGTTGCTCATGTGAAACCTTCATAAGATTGTGTATCAATGATACCTTAACAAAACAAAAAAGAAAGATTGAAAGCATATAATGTATCTTCTCTGACCACAATGGAAAGAAACTAGAAATCAATAACAGAGGAAAAACTGGGAAATTCACAAATATGTGAAAATTAAACAACACAAACTGTTAATCAGTGAGTTGAAGAAATCACAAAGGAAAAATTGGAAAATACTTAGAGACAAATTAAAACACAACATACTAAAACTCACAAGTGCTGTAAAAACAGAGCTCAGAGGGAAATTTATAGTAGTAAATGCAACTTATTAATTGAAAAGCACAAACTACCACAATTCACCCAAATGTGAAACAGATAATTTGAATGGCCTTATAATAAGTAAGGAAATTGATTTTATAATTTAACCCCCGTGCCCCTCCAAAACTCTCCAGGGTCAGATGATTTCACTGCAGAATTCTACCAAATGTTGAAGGAAGAATTAACACTATTTCTACACAATCTCTTCCAGAAAACAGAAGAGGATGGAAACTAATTACTGATACCAAATCCAAAGATTCAGGTAAGCAAATGAAATATTTAGATTTAAGATGGATCTTTGTTCCAAGAAAATTCAAATGAATACAACTTTTATGAGGCAATCAGGGAAATTTGCACACTGACTGGGTATTTGATGTTAAGGAAATGTTAAGACTTCTTATGTACAGGCATTCTCAGAGATATTGTCAGTTTAGTTCCAGACCATGGCAATATGGTAAATATTGCTATAAAGTGAGTCAAATTTTTTGGTTTCCCAGTGTATATAAAAGTTATGCTTACACTACACTGTAGTCTGTTAAGTGTGCAATAGCATTATGTCTAAAGAAGAGTACTTACCTTAATTTATAAATCCTTTATTGCTAAAAATGCTAACCATGATCTGAGTTTTCAGCGAGTCAGTCATTGATCACAGATCATCAGAATCGGTATAATAAAGAAATTTGAAATATCACAAGAATTACAAAAATGTGACACAGAGACATAAAGTGAACATATGATGCTGGAAAACGGTCCTGATGGACTTGCTTGACACAGGGTCGCCAGAAAACTTCACTTTGTAAAAAATGCAATATCTCTGAAGTGCAATAAGGCAAAAGTATGCCAGTATATTAATAGCATTTTAGTTGTGTTTATTAAAATAGTCCTTATTGTTTACAGACACAAACTGAAATATTTATGGATGAAATTATGTGACATCTGGGATTTATTTAAAATAATTCAGGGGTCAGGGTGGGGAATTGAATGGGCTGTGAGCAGATAATTGTGGATGCCAGGAAGGCACATGGAGGCCGTTAGACTATTCTTTTCTATACGTTTGAAATTTTCCCTAAGAAATTTGTAGGCTACTTGTTTTCTTTTCTGTAATCTTCTGGCATGACTTTTGCTTTCTTGTTTTTTTCTACTTATTCATCAGACAACTTTAAAAAAAGTAACATAATAAGGAAATCAGCCCTTTATCTCTCATACTGATAAATACTTTTTAGTTCCTTATTTGTGCTTTGAGTTTCTTTTTCTACAGAAAATTTTACTATTACAGGATATTTTGACCCAAATGTTTTGGCCTTATCGATGACTCTGAATTTTGAATCCAAATATTTTTATCAGAATTACACTAATCCTAAATATATCAAGAAAAAGTTTTCTTGAGCAATCTGCATGCAGCCAATTCAATTCCTCAACCCATTAGTTTATTTTAAATTCTTTCTAGTGTTTCCTATTTTAAATTTAATTGTACAGAATTAATTTTTCATGACAGTCACTTGGTTTCCAGAGTAAATGCCACTGTGAAGATTTGGGTCTCATTTTTAGTCTACATCTGATTTCACCAGTTTCCTGCCTTTGTATGTTATCTATTATGTCCATTATTTCTAATTGGTCCAATTCGTTCAGGTCAGATATGAGTATCTAAATGTCAAAATCTTATTCTCTGTTTGAATTTTAGTAAATATCCAATTTAATGTGGTTAGTTTTCCTTTCTGTCAACTCGATTTTGTGTTGGTTATGTCTGCGTATCTGTGGTAGGTTGTCTTATTTGCTCACAATTCTGCCTTCCCTCCCCCCACTCACCATGTGGACTCTGCTGGAGGACATTTCTCTGCCCACAGATGTTGGGCGTAACTTGGGGTGGAGAGAACCACAACAATATTTCCCATCTCATATGCATCTCACATGTTACACTGCGACTTTGACTTCCTCCCAAGTGGGGAAGTCTTTGTCTTCTTCCTCTTGAACCTGGGGAGACCTTTGTGACCAACTGGGTTTGGCAGAAAGGATGCTGTGTCTTCTGAGGCCAGATCATAAAAACACCACACGTTTCCCTCTTGCTCTCTTGGAGCCCACCCGCCATGCTTTGAGGGAGCCCAAACTCGCACAAAGAGATTATCTGGGGATGCCTCAAACAGGCATTCTGTTGGTGGCTCCAGCTGAGGTCCCAGATGACAGCCAGCATCCACCCCCAGAGTGAAAACAGCTCCTGAAGGTTCTGGCCACTGTGTTTGATTGTTTTCAGCTGAGACCTCAGACATTTCAGAGCAGAGGCCAGCAGTTCCCACTGTGCCCTGCCTGAATCTGTAACCTACAGAACTGGTAAGCATAATAAAATGGCTGTTTTATGCGACTAAGTGTTGGGGTAGTTTGTAACGCAGCCATAGTAACCAGCACACCGTGGGACTTGCTTTGGTCCAAGCAAAAGTAGTTTCTGGTTCTGTGTGCTAGTTCTGAGCCTGGGCTTTCAGAGCGTCATGTGTCCCTGCCCACCCTCCTGCTCCCTCAGGAGCCTCTGACTTCTGCCATGAGAGGAATGTGCTAAAGCGGCCTGATGCTCCCGGAAGAAGGGAACACAGGGACTAATCCTGAACCCAACTGTTATGTGCTGAATTGTGTCCCTTGCAAATTCATATGTTGAAGTCCTAACCTCCAGCACCTCAGAATGTGATGGTATTTGGAGATAAGGCCTTTAAAGAGGTGACGAGATTAAAATGAGGTTATCAGGAGAGGCCCTACCCAATCTGGTGTCCTCATAAGAAGAGGAAGACTGGGCACAAGGACCCTTCTTACCACCCTCCTATTGCAGGTGCCACATACTCTAGGCCTCACATCAGCAAAGGTGCCCTAGTTGCCCCAACTTGCCCACAGCCTCAGCTCCCCTGGGCCTCTGAGGGCAGCTTCCTGCTTGCCCAGTGACTGCGGATCAGCTCTGGCCCAGGCAGTGCAGCAGAGGTCTCTGCCACCCGAGTGGGCCACAACCACAGCTTCTCCAATGAGGTCTGAACCCCAGCCTGGGGAAGGACTCCCCTTCCCAGCATACCCACCCTTGGGCACTCTGTCTAGGAGAGCTTTTAAAGTTCCCTCTACATCCTTACAATTACTCTCTTATGTACACCTAACAATTCTTTATATGAAACAGCCTCCATTTAAATTGCCTTCTGTTTGGGCTCAGATTGAAACAGTGTATCCTTCCCTCTCTCCTTCCACAGGGGTCAGGCCCACGTCAGTCTCCTTTATCCTTCATGGCATGGCCCCCAATAAAGCTGTCCATGGGTTGAATTCTTGGCATTTACTTCTCCAAGGACCCAAACAGATGCAGCTTCCCTTCACACTTAGCACAAAATCCCAGGGGGCCCTATATCATCTGCTTTCTGCCCCAAGACAACCCTGTGCCCTGGCCCACACCTTCCTACTCTCTCCAAGTCATTCTGCTCCAGTCACTGTGGCCCCCTTGGAATTCCACAGAGATGCAAACCAGAATTCCGCCTCTGCACTTGGAAGCCTGTCTTTGATGCAAGCCTTGTTCCCTCATCTCATTCAGACCTCTTCTCAAATGCCACCTCCTCTGTGAGGCCTTCACTGACCACCTCTCCCCCAAATATCTTTTAATTCTGTGCCTTTATACTGCCTTGTTTTGTCTCCTTACAGCATTTATTGCCACATAGCATACTATATATTATACTGACATACCCATTTTTCTGTCTCCCTCCATAAAGGAATGCCTCCTCTGTGAGGCCAAGGACCTTGTCTGTCTTGTTCACTGCTGCATCCCACAGCTTGGATTAATACCTAGAACATAATAGGTGCTCAGAAAATATTTTAGTTGACTGAATAAAGAGTGTCCTTGCCTTTGTTCAAGCCATTCCCTTCACCTGGAATACCTTCCCATCATCCTGCCTTTCCTAGTCCCACCTAGGCCTTAATCCTCCAGGAAGCCTTTTCTGACTAGCTGGGCTCTGAGCCCCTGGAAAGTGGCTTATTCTTGCCCCTCGTCTGCTATACTGCCTAATTTGAGATGTAATGTAGGCTTTGTGGTAGGTAGAGATTAGAGGCAGAAGAGAACAGACCAGCTTTATTGGGTTATGAAGAGGGAGGCCCCTCCATAGCCTCTGGGCCAGCAGGGAGCTTTGGGAGAGCAGTCTGGGCTATGGTGTCACTTCTTCCACTCCTTCTTGTCATAGTCCCAATGGGAGGCCAGGCCTTGCACAGGGTTGCCCTTCATGTCCAGGATGCGCTGGAGCTGCTGGGCCTTCCACTCTTCCGTCAGGGTGATGGGCTTCTCAGGGAACACTGTGGGGAAGGCATGCAGTTGGGACAACGGTGGCTCAGGATGCTGCCATGCCTGCCCCCTCCCCCTGAGCCAGGGTCTCCAGTCACAGGGTTGGGACATCAGGTACTGAGTAGCTCCTCCCCACTGTCTGTCCTCCAAGTTTCACTCCAGGAACCTCTGGACTCTGATGCCCGCTTTACCTTAGACTTGTGGTGGGGAGTCTAAGGGCCAAGAGAAATGGTAGGCCAAGGGTCTTCCCCTTTCTGAGCCTCAGTTTTCTCAGCTCTTCTGTGGCCCAGTGGGAAACAGGAGCATTGATTTGAAGTCGACCTGGGTCCAAATCCCAGCTCCATCACTCCCTTGCCCTGTGACCTTGAGCAAGTCATTTTGTCTCTCTGAGCCTCAGTTTTCTTACCTGTCAAAAATAGATTATCTCTACTAGGGTTGTGGGGATCGAATGAGTTAGTATGTATAAAGCAACTGGCACAATGTGGGATAGATATTAAGTCCCTAATACATGGTAGTAGCTACTTTAATTATGAGTTTGCTCCCACTAACCAGAGTGAGATAGTCTCTTCTGCTTCCTGAGGGCATTGGAGGTAGGAAGCAGTATTCACTGTGGGAAGGAAGTACTTAATCCAAGGGCTGAAGCATTCATGGAGGTTTTTTAGGTGCCTTGATGCGTGGATCAAGGAAGCCCTGGTTGGCTGCAACTCCGCACACTGCTCAAGCCTGCTCCTGAGGCTGATTCAGCCTGCCTGACCTTGTCCCTAGTACTTTCTGTCCCAGTGGGTGGGCAAGAAGGAAAAGATCATTATGGACACCTGTTAGTACCATACATTGGGCTAGACTAGAATTTTTCCCAAAGGCTCCCATCCTCATGCAGGGTAGGAATTCCCATCATGCTTTTGCAGAAGAAGAAACAAGGAGAAGATACTACAAGTGGAGTTAACTGAGGCAAGGCCTGCCAGCTCTTCCCCAATATTCTCTCCCCTTCCTCCAGAGCTTCTCAAAACTGAGTGGGTATCAGAATCACCGGGGAGGCTATTAAAATAGATTTCTTGCCTCCACCCTCAGAGTGTCTAACTCAGTAGATCCAGACTAGGGCTGAGAATTTGCATTTCTAACAAGTTCCCAAATGATACTGTTGGTCCAGGCACCACACTTTGAGAACCACTCTTCTATAGTAATAAGCAATAAACTGGGCATGTGACCACCCAGCTCAACACTACATTTCCCAGCTTCCCTTGCAGCTAGGCATGGTCATAAATCATTTCTAGCCAATAGGATGTGAGCAGAAGTGGGGTGTGCAACTTCTGGACCTTAAAGAGAAGTGTGTCCTTCCTTTCCCTCTTGGCTGGAATATAGACTTTAATGGCTGGAGCTGGAGGAGCCATCTTTAATGTAGAGAAGGAAGCTGCATGTTAAGGATGGCAGGGCAACAAGCAGAAGGATCCTGACATTGTGGAGTCCCTTTATACCCCCTGGACTTTTTTGTGAGAGAGGAACAAAACCTCTATCTTGTTTAAGCTCTTGTATGTTAAGGACTCTTCATTACAGAAGCTGAAACAATATACTGAAAAATTCATGATTAATAATAGCGATCAGTAACACCATTCACAACTATGTACTAGGCACTGGCTTATAGCTCTCTCTCCTTAAATCTTCACAAGAACCCTGAGATGTGGGGTTTATGTGGGATTATTATTCCCATATCATAGATGAGGGAATTGGAGCCCAGAGAATTAGAGTCCCTACATTCCAACTCAGGCAGCTGTGCTCTGCCCTTCACCCTATACCTCTTTGGAGGACTTCTCAGAACTCTTCAGATGAGTGCCAGCAGAGTTCCTGTATAAGAGCTTGGCTGGTGGCTGTGGCCACAGGGCATAGTCAAGGGCAGCAGTAGGGTAAGGTGCTGCCACTCACCATAGACCCGCTGCCACCAAATGAGCAGCGCTGTGAATCCAGAGAAGAAGAAGACACAGCCCATCACTGTCTTCCACTCATTGGAGCGACGGTTCATCTCTGCAAAGGTCTCATGGAACTGGAGCCGATACACTGGAAACAGATGGGGCAGGGCAGTAGGAACCCAGGGGTATCCATTCCGAGGACCCTGGGCCAACTCTAGGTCTTAGGGATCCCTCTCCCTGCAGCAAATGCTGTACATTAAGCATATTCTTTTTTTGAGAGGGCATCTCTCATATTTATTGATCAAATGGTTGTTAACAACAATAAAATTCTGTATAGGGGACTCAATGCACAATCATTAATCAACCCCAAGCCTAATTCTCAACAGTCTCCAATCTTCTGAAACATAATGAACAAGTTCTTACATGGTGAACAAGTTACATTAAGCATATTCTTATGGGGCACCTACTGGGCCAGGAGCCTGTGAGGAGGCTCCAAATATCAGAGTCAGCCTGGGGCACTTGGGGTCATGCACCCTCCTGCTTCCCAGGGTCAGGCTCTTGCTCTCATCCCCCACACCACTCAGTGATCCCCAGGATCCTCCATGCTCTCTGCTCCCATAGCCTTCCCTGTGCAGCTCCCACTACCTGGCAGCACCCTCCTCCTCAGCATCCATGGTCAGCTGGCACATGCTCTCCTCTGGGAGGTCTGCCCAGATGGCTTCTCTGTCTTCTTCGGGTCCTCACAACCCCTTGGACACACCTCACCCTAGCTGTGCATGCTGTGTTACCGTTATCTGGGTTTGGGTTTCCCCCCACCAGACTGGGAGCACACTGAGGGCAGGAACCATCTGGGTGATTCATTCCTGGTTCCCAGCACCACCTACCATCTGGCTGAACACAAATAGTTGTATGAACAAAATGAGCAGATGAATGACCTTTACCCCTCAGGTATGCTTTCAGGTGGATGGGGGTTTCTGGCTATCTTGGGTGGGGGCTCTCCTTGCCTGCTGCCCTCTGACAGGCCCTTCTTTTCAAAGTCACCCCCCGCCCAGTCTCCCAGGACAGCCCCACCCTGAGACCTACAGGCCACCTTCTCGGCATGGCTCAGCTGGGTCCAGCTGCCCTTCTCCTTCTCTTTCAGGGCCCGCTGCTCAGCGTTGAGCTCTGTGCAGAAGGGCTCGTCTGGCATGGGGTAGGAGCGCTGGGCATGGTAGTTGGTATAGGGGGGCATCTTCCCCGTGCCCTGTGCTGCAGGAACAACAGAGGAGCTGAGTTCAGGCTGCTCCTGAGACATCCCAGCTCCAACCACAATATTAATAAGGAAGGCTGCATTTATTGAGCACTTACTGTATGCCTGGAGCCATTCTAAGACCTTAAGGTAAGTTGACTCACTTACTCTGCATCACTCTGAGCCAGATGATATTGTTATCCATCTTAGAAATGAAGAAACTGAGTAGTTAAGTGCCTTGCCGAAGTTCACAGTGCAAGAAGGAGCAGGGCCAGGGCTGCAATTCAGCCCCTCTGACTCCACATCCCATGTTCTCTGGAAGATGTGAGGTGAGGTGGGCATGTCTGGCAAAGGCTCAGTGGGATAACCCTGAGATGACAGATATGAAACTGTTCTGCAGACTGTAAAGTGCTGTCCATATGGCTTTAGTGAACGGTCAAGGGCATGGCTTTGGCATCAGCTGGGTGGGAGCCCCAGTTCCACCCCACCCCAGTTCCAACAAGTCCCTTTACCTCTTTGTGCTTCAATGTCCTCATCTGGAAGGTGGGGATCATGAGAGAACCTACCTTGCACTGTCGTGGGAAACTTCAGATAATACACTCACAATGCTAAGCACTGTGCCCAGTGTACAGTAGATGTTCCATAATTATATTGGCAGAGAGACTGGTTTTACTACTGGCTTGCATTTCTGGAAGCTCTCCCTGATGGCTAAGCCTGGAGGGCTCCATGTAGGTGTTCAGAGCAAGGTTAAGCACTAGGAGGGTCTCAGTAAATCTTCTGTTATTGTCACCAGAGATGCCCACGAGGAAGGCAGTGGTACCACCTTGCCAGGATGGCACTGGAACTGCTTTGGCCAAGGAGTTCTGGTCCTTTTTACTGTTGAGGTATCCAGCCTCAATTTGCTCAGCTGAGAAATGGAGATAACTGCACACCACCTGCCTCACATGGTTGTAGTGATGTCTAATGTGTCCTCTGTGTAAAAGTGTTTACCACAGCTTGGGGTACCTAACAAGGGCTCACTAAATGTTATGTTATTATTCTCCTGAGGGTCAGGAAGGCCCATCTGCTCTCTGGTTGAAGTGTCCCCTGCTTTAGGCCTCTTTCTTTTGACTAGTACTGACCCCAGGATTGGGAAAGGAGGTCCAGGGTTCTGTCAGCACCCTCCACCTCAGGACACAAAGGCCTTAGGGGCCTGAGGTTTGGGGGTCAGGACCTGAGGAAGCTTGCAGTGAAGGAGGGTGTTGTCTGCTAACCCTGAGAGCAACATTTCCTGAAGGAATGTGGCCTGGGTTCAAGAGGTGGGATATGGTTTTGAGGTAGGCCCACAGTAGTATGGAAGGGACGAGCTGCAGACCACAGAGAGGACCCTGGCCCTGGGCTTAGAGTTAGGCAAGGGAGGGGGTGTGCGGGTCTTACCAGTGCCTCCCGGACTGTGCATCCCTCGCATTCCAAGTCCTCCTTTCCTCAGCACCAAGCTCCAAGCAGCTCTGAAGAACATCTGGTGTGTGTGTGGATGAGTCTTGCCCTTAAAGTGCCCTCTGCCCCTACCTGTCAGGGCCCAGACAGAGAAACCCTTTTCCACAGGTGTGTATATGGTTGCGGGGGGAGTTCCAGAAATTCAAGGTTACACTCCTGCCCCTTCTAATTTTGTCTCCTCTCCTATGGGGGTTCTAGACATATAGAGCCCCCTCCTGGGGCCTTAAGTCACCACATGAGAAGTGGGAGGAGGCCGAACTCCTACGGCAGGGCCTGAACAATTTGGGGCTGGGGGCTTGGCATTTGTGGGTTGGGCTGGGAGACCTCCCTTAGTTTTTTGCTCCCCAGAGGAAACTGGGTGGGAGTCCAGGTAGGGCGGGGGCAGGTCTTGGGGCTGCCTCTGTTCCCGACAGGGCCATCTGTCGAGTTCTGTGCGCAGTCCGGCCCCCACCCTTTCCCCCTTAATTGGCTGCCTACGTGCCAGGGAGAGCCTGCTCTACTGGATCTGGGGCAGGAGGGGGACAGGCTGAGCCCAAACCCCCAGCCCCCAGGGTAGTCTCAGGGTCTGGCATCCTATGGGGAGGGGAGGGCTGTAGAGGAGGACAAGGACCAAGCTGGGTCAGAGAGAGGAAGAGGAGCACACATCTGGGGAGAGGGAGGTGGGAGCCCACTTCTGGAAAGAGAAAGGCCCCCCACAACTGCGGAGAGGGTCACCCAATAATTGGAGGGGTATACAATATGCGGTAAATGGGAGAGGGCCCCCACATCTGGGAAGGAAGGCTCCCCATCAGTGACAAGTAGGTGGGGGAGCACCAGGTATGGGGAGAGGTAAGGGGTAGGTGATCTACATTTTGGGGGAGAGCTGGTGCCCCGAATGGTGACAGAGGATAATTCCCCAGGATTCCTTAACTCTGAGCTGCCGTGAGGCACCCCTCCATCCCCGACCCTCCTCTGTGGCAGGGTCCCTGGGTGGCAAAGCTGCACCCTCACCCTCCAGCCTAGGGCAGCCAGGCTCTCCCTCCCACTCACTCACCTCGCGGCTCCGCGGCGGCAGCGGCTAAGATAGAGCCTCCGCGACCCGGGTCTGCCAAGCGAGTAACGGAGACTGGGCTGCAGAGGGACCAGAGCACCGGCTCCCGCCCCCGGGCCCGCCCCACAGCCTGTCCTTAGGCCGCCCCTGCGTGGGAACGTCCTGCCTCCGCGGGGCGTGAGAGCGCCCAGCCCTCGTCCCCAGGGGGGTCCCAGACCACAGCCTGGGGAGAGGGACTGCAGAATGACTACTCGCCCACGGGGGTCCTGCCTCTGGAGGCCCCAGCTGGCTGTGTGCTGGGCGGGCCCAGCTCTCTGGGTTGGGTAGTCCTGGGAGCTGGATCTTCCTGCCTCCATACCTTTGCTCACTGCTGTTCCTTCCAACTGGAATGCGCTCTGAGGGCCTTTGCAGATCCAAGTCCTGCCAATTTGCCCACCCAGAGCCAATGCCTCCTGCTCCAGGAAACCTACAAGCAGCTAGAATCTGGGAGCTGGCCTGCGGTGTACCACCTCATTCCCATGCCCTCATATCCAAGGAGAAGTGAAAGAAGCCTCCCTCTGGGGTTCAAATCTTAGCTGCATGACCTTCAACAAATGGCCCAACCTCTTTGAGTTCCTATTTTCTTTTCTATAAGAGAGAGCTAATGATAGTTCTATCTCATATGCTGTTATAAGGATTAAATAAGCCAATAGAAAAGCATCAGGTACACTTATTTAAAAATTACTTATTAGGACCTATTACAGCTGGCATTAATTGAGTGTCTATTGTTCGCTAGGTTAAATGCTTGAGAATATAGAGCCAAACAAAACCAAACACAGTCCCTGCCCTTATAGGGTTTACAATCCAGTTCCAAGCAGAGAGAAAGGCCAGTGCAAAGGCCCAGAGGCAGAAAAGCACAAGTGTGTTCAAAGAACAAAGAGAGGCCATCTTGGCTAGACTAGTATAAGGAAAAAGGGGAGAGTTGGAGTGGGGCTGAGCCACCAGAAAGGAACTCATTGGCCATGGGTGCGAATCTTGGATTTATCCAAGAGGGGAGGCTACTAAAGGTTAAGTGGGGGAGTGATGTGGTTAAATGGAGCAGAACATGAGTTCAGTGAACTTAGCCTGGGATTATTAGGAGACTGATGGTGGACTGATGGGTGAAGGCTGTGGGTCCCTTCTGTGGCCTGGGACTGGAACTTTCTAGGTCTCCCAGCTCTGAGCCCATGAATTGTGCCTAGCTCCCACCCATCCATCAGGGTTCCTGGTGCCTAGTGAAGCCACTCCAGCCAGTCTGGAGGGAAGGTCTTAGTCCCCAGGGGACAGATGACTCAGGGGAAGGTGCCAGAGAGACCCTAGAAGGGGTAGGATGCACATCACCTCCATTCTGAACTTCAGCAGCCACAAACAAAAGCTGTGAGAAGGCAGAGTGGGAGACCCCTGGATCTCCAAGAGACCCCCAGCTCCCAGGACTAGCCATGGTTACTCCTGGGAGTGCTCCTCTCCCTTCCCCATGACCAAGGGCATTACAGATTTCAGAGACCCGGAAGAGGTAATGCTGACCACAATGTCCTGAGGAGTAGCCCTGTGGACAGAGAACTAGGGAAACCCTCCTTCAGGCAACCTGGGGAGAGCACACCTTAAGTCATGTCAGACCGTTTCAGGAACACGTGGGTGCTGACTGCACTGGAGTGAGTGGCTGATGTGTATGCTCTCCTATTGCCATGCTGATGGCCAAGTGGTACCATTTCTAGGCCTCAGTTTCCCCATTTTTCACAGGGACTCCCAAGGGAAGGCACTTGTGGAACATGACCCTCTGTTCTGCTCTGTCCTCTTCCATCCCCACCCCTATGGGAACTCCAGGCCCCAGATGCGGGGTGATGCTGTGATAAGGAACATCTGTTGGGGAAGCCAGCCCCCACAGCGGAGGGTGATGGGGTGGAGGCAGGCCCTGTACTACTCAAGATTGATGTAGGGCTGCAAGACTGCCTGCAGGGCAATGCAGAGCAGCATCTCAAGGTCCAGAACTTGGAAACAGTCAGACTGTAACCATGTAGCCCCCTTTTGATGAAGCCCCTCAGACTTTTCATGAACCAAGAGAAGCCCAAGTCTCTTAATCATGACCCAAAGTGTAGGTAGTTAGAGATTAAAGAAAACAGGAGTTTGCAAACCACAGTAAAGCCGACGAAACAGACACAGGCCTCTTAGTTCCCTCTCAAGGCTATTAATAATTGGCTCATGTAACCTTGAGATGTTTTACAGGAACTTAGACTTCTACCAGATGGGCCACCTCCTAACAACAAACACATAAACCCCAGACTGGGTAGAACCAGAGACTGATAGCTAAGATTCCTGAAACAATCCTGTCACCTTACCACTGGCCAAGCAGAAGAATGGCCATGAGCTGATCACACACCCTACAACCCTTTCCCATAATTTTGCCTTTAAAACCCTTGTTTGTAAGCCAATGGCAAGTTCAGGACTTGGGGCATCAGCCACCCCTTCTCCTTGCCTTGTGCCCTGCAATAAATGCCCTCTTTCTTTCACTACATCTTAATGTCAGTGTTTGGCTTTGGTGAGCATCAGGCGAGTGGACCCAGGTTTGTTTGGTTTGGTAACAAGGCTCGCCCATCAGGCAGGTCACTCAGAGTCCCTGGGCCAAGGAGTGAGATTCTTTCCTGGCAACCTTGGTGGGCACAAGAGGGGAGGGGGCTCCGGATGGGGCTTTCAGGCCACTCACCACCATGGACCCTGCACGTAACTGCAGGCTGAAGGGTTGAAAACAGCAAGGATGAGAGGTGAGAGGGATCTGTCCCTTTCTCGTTGGCCCTGCAGCTCTGACCCCCAAGGGGAGCCCTTAAAGAAAGGGGCAGCTCTGACTCACTTGACCAGATCCAGAGAGCCCCCAAGATCCTGCCCAAACATAATGACCTGAACCACAGCCTCAGCATCCTACCAGGACGATGCCCACCATTCAGGCTTCGCACCGGACCCACCTCGGACACCCCCCACCCCGAGCCCAGAGGGGATACTGAGGAAGACCTAGTCCTCGTGCAGGACCCGAAGGCGAAAGAAGACGTGTTAGAAGAGACATAGCGGACCCCTACCCTCAGTCCCTCGGAAGCCTCGGGAGCCAGTTGAAGAGGGAGAACAGGTCTGGGACAGGAGGGGCGGGGAAAGGTATGAGCGGAGTGGGCGGGGCTTACAGTTAGGGCGGGGACTGTAGTGCAAGGACGGGGCCGGGGAATAGAGAAACTGGTACTAAGGAGATTGAGGACGGTTGGTCGAAGGGCGGGGCCGGTGGACACAGGGGCGGTGATCAGGATTGCAAAGCGAGGCCTATCCCGCTCAACCACAGGAATGCAGGTAAGGCGCGCGCTCGGCGGTGCGCTGTGATTCCGAGCACTGAGGCCTGCAGGACGAGGGGTAGCACCAGCAGGAGGGTGCCCACTTGGCAGCGCACGCTCGGAGGACGTCGCACGGTGACCCGTAGCTCCAGAAACCAAGCAGAACGTTTTTGTAACTGCACAGGTGGCCGGGTCTGAATCCAAGCGGAGCCAGGGCTGTCACGGAGACGGCCGCTAATGAAAGGTTTCCCGGCCGTGGGGACGACCCTGCAGAGCGATCAGGATAGATGGGCGCTGTCTGCTGAATTTCACTGGTTCGCGACGGACCGGTGGCCTGGAAAATGGGAACCTCCTTCCGGAGGGTCGGATCTCTGCACGGCCCCCGCCCCAGGACTCACGCCCTCGTCGGAGGAGGGGGGGGCGCTGAACGAGGGGTCCTGGTGGAGCCGGCCGGGGCAGCAAAGGCGACCCGCGATCACCTGCAGCACGAAATTCGCGGAAGTTCGCGGTGTTCAGCTGGAAGAGAATTCCTAGCAGAGGTGCTGGGGCGATATTTGGGGAGACTCTGCGTGGCCCCACAGCCCCGCCCTCCAGACTTCAATCCTCTTGCCCCACCCAAAAGCGGCCCTTATTCCTCGTCTTCCCACCTGCCTTGTCTCTCTACTACGTCACCAAGGTCTCCTTCCTTCCCTGGCCTCTTGCTGCCAGTCACCCTTCCCGCTCCACTCGGCAGTCATTGTGCCCGCTTCCCGTTGGGCTCCACCTGGTAGCCCTGCGCTCCTCCAGCAGCGCCTTACTTCGTCCTGTCAGTCATCTATGGCCCCGCCCATCTGGCCCGCCTTCCGGAGATGCTCCACCCCCCGCCCAGCCCAGGCCTGCTGCTGCCCTGCCCGTTCCCAGCCCTGGCCTTGCTTCACAAGCTACGTTAAACCCTCGCCTTCGTCCTATCCTTGCTCCTTCGGTTACCTCGGTCCCGCCCCCGCACGGCGACCTCCTCCCCACCCTGGCCCTGTCCTGTCCTCCTCTCACCCAGCATGACCCGGCACGCCCCTCTCAGTCACTCGAGCCCCGCCCCTTATGGCACCACCCGCTTTCCCTAGACCCGTCCCCTAGCCTCGCGCAGACTGTCACCTGGCCCCGCTCAGGTCCCGCCCTCACCTCGCGATCAGTGGGCGTGCAGGTCGGAGCCCCCACTTTGAAGGCGCCCGCCGCGCGAGGAGGCGAAGGTATTCCCCAGGCGGGGCAGGACCGTGTGGTCTGGAAGGGCGCTGACTGCTGGAAGGGCGCCCAGCGGCCCAACCAGGATCCCACCTCGCTGCGAGTGGGTAGAAGGGGCACGGGGTGGAGGTTTCGTCAGAATTTGCAGTGTAATCCTGGGACCTGGGGCCTGGGCCTCACACCACCCCCTCGCCTGGGCAGGTGTATACAAAACACTTATAAACGATCCCCTAGCTAATTTCGGGCAGTGAAGCTGCGAGGTCCATCCTCGTCTGGTTTCAGTCCCTCCTTCCCCGCTTCCCCCATGGCTTCGATTTCCCTTCTCTATAACGCCAGTCACACCCAAGCCTGGCTTAGAGGCTGTGAAGGTGAACGTGATGGTCTGAGCAGGGATTCTCTGAAAGGCAGCCCCAACAGTGACGTATCAGCCAAGCTCTGAATGGGGCTAGGGGTTGGGTGGGCATCACCTTGAGGCCCAGCTCTGTGCTCTGTTCTCATAAGCAGCATCACCACCAGAGAATAGTCTAACTTGGCAAAGGGCTGAAGCAATGGGATACTGGGGATGCAGGGGGTCAAGTCAGCCTTGGGGTAGGCACTGGCCCCATCAAATCCTGTTCTGGGGCTCCACCCTAACCTGGAATGGTCTGCAGCTTTTACTCCAGGTCTTCCAGGGACTCTGCTCCCCAGACCAAACATAGGGTGCACAGGGCAGGGTATGAGGTACTCCAGCCAAGCCCCAAGGCAGGAGCCCTTGTCTTCTCTGGGACACAACCTGCTCTTAGGCATGAGGATATGTCCCAGGCTTTTTTGGGGACAGCCTCATGGCATCCTTGAGCCTTCATTAGTACCCAGTGGCCTCCCATTAAACTCCTTAGCCTGCTATTCAAGGTCCCCCTGCAAACTCCAACTGCAGCTTCCCCATCAACCTCTCCTCTCCTACATGAGCCAGCCATGCTGGCCTTCAGTTCTTGGAACACACTCCATTCTTGCCCGTGGCAGGGCCTTTGTAACTGCTCTTCCCTCTGCTAAAATTCTCTTCTATAGAGCAAGACTCACTTATTCCCAGTTGCATGTTCCCATGAGAGAAAGCTTTACTGGAGTAACATACCTGACTTCTCATCCACAGACCTAGGCTGTGTTCTACACACATGTTTATCAGTCATTGTGTCCTCAACAATATCTCCAATTCCATGCTCCTTTTACAACATGACCTTGACACTCCTGCCATCAAGTGGTGTGATTAATGTCTCCATTCCTTGAACCTTGCTTGGTGTTACCTTTTTGACAGCCTTAAACTTAGAACGTGGTGAAACTGATGCTATGAGGTCTCCACAGCCAGATCATAAAAATGCCTCTCTTTGGATACGGTTTCATAGAACCCAGCTGCCATGCAGTGAGGAGACCCAACTAGACAGAGTGGAGAGAACACATGGACAAGTCCTATGTAGATGTTCTTTCTGGCTACCTAGCCTAGGTGCCAGCCTACAACCAGCCTCAGCTTCTAGATCAGGCACATGTCCAGAAGATCCCAGCCCCTAGCCATCAAGCCCCTCCCAGCTGTTAAGTCTTCCCATCTGAGGCCCCAGATATCATGGAGCAGAGACCAGTCATCCCTGCTCCGCCCTTCCTTAATTCCTAACTGCAGAAGCCATCAGCATCAGACAGCTGTCTTACACACTGTTTTCAGATGGTTTGTGATGAAGTGATAGATAGTAACTGGAACAGCCATCAAATGCCATTTTGATTTCAATATACCTGACTCCTCATTTGACTCAGTTGTTTCAAAACTTGGGCAAGAAAGAGGGTGCTAGGTATTAACATCCAAAACCCCACCATTGTCCCTCAGATTTCAGCTGCAACATCATTGCAGAGACTTGCCCTGTCCCCTGTGGAAAGGGCCCTCCCTAATTAGTCTAGATTTGTATTCTTGCCAGCACTTTTTATTTTCTGAACTTATACACAAAGAAACCCACAGCCTTCTTGACCTGCATGCTCTACACACCAGGCCTGTTCACTCAGGTCTCTCTTCTTCTGGAACTGGGATGAAGTGGGGTGTGGCTTGCAATGGACTGATTCTTTGTGACCTCTCAAAATTTGTATGTTGAACCTAATCCCCAATGTGATGGTATTAGGAAGTGGGGACTTTGGGAAGTGATTAGGTCATGGATGTGGAGCCCTCATGAATGGAATTAGGACCTTTATAAAAGAAGGCCCAAGAGTTCCATTGTCCCTTCTGTCATGGGAGGTTACAGTGAGAATATGGTTGTCTATGAACCAGGAAGCCAGCCAGCTCTTACCAGATATGGAATTTGTCAGCCCCTTGATCTTGGACTTCCAGCCTCCAACACTGTGAGAAATAAATTTCTGTTTATAAGCCGTTCAATCTATGGTGTGTTGTTTCAGCCCCATTTGGACTAAGGTTGCTAGATTGATACCTCACTATTTAATTTTCATTGGTGCTATTGTAAATAGTGCTTACTTAAATTTGTTTCCCATTTCCAGTTGTTCAATGCTATTATATAGAAATGCAATTGATTTCTGTATATGGACCTTATATCCTATGACCTTGAGAAATTCATTTATCAGTTGCATTAGTTTGCTAGGACTGCCTTAACAAAGTACCACAGGGTGGGTGGCCTGAACAGCAGAAATGTATTGTCTCACAGTTCTAGAAACTAGAAGTCCAAAGTCAAGGTGTCTGCAGGGTTGGTTCCTTCTGAGGCCTGGGAGGAAGGATCTATTCCAGGCCTCTCTCCTTGGCTTACAGATGGCTGTCTTCTCCCTGTGTCTGTTAACACTGGCTTCCCTTTATGAGTGTCTGTGTCCAAATAATTTCCTCTTTATTTAAGACCAGTCATATTGGTCTTTTCGAAAAACCAGCCTCTGGTTTCATTGTTTTTCTGTGCCCAATATCATTGATTTTTGCTCTTTAATTCTTTCTATTTGGTTTGGACTTAATTTGATTTTTCTTTTTCTAGTTTCTGAAGGTGGAAGCTTGTATTATTCATTTGAGACCTTTCTTCTTTTTTCATATAAGCATTTAATGCTAAAAAATTTTCTCTTAACTCTTAGTTGAGTAGATGTTATACAGTAGATCTCCAGAACTTATTTGTCTTGTATTAATGAGACTTGGTGTCTTTTGACCAATACCTCCCCTTTTTTCTTTTTTTCTTTTTTTTGGTTCTTTTTCAAGATTTCTATTTGTCTGCTGAGAAGGTCTGTTTTTCCATTCATTTCTAAAACATTAATCTCCCGCTCATGAAGTATGGTTGTAATAGCTGCTCTGAAATCCTTGATCGACAGTTTCAACATCTGGATCTTTTCATGGCTGGCATCTATTAATTGTCTTTTTCTTTTGAGAGCTGGTTGGGTGTTCCTTTGAGTAACTGTGCGTTGTATCCTGGATGTTTTAAATATTATCTTGTGAGACTCTGGGTACTGTTAAAAGCCTCTGGAGAATTATTTTTTTAATAGCAGGCAAACCTGGTTAAGTTCAGACTGCGTATTTCAATATCACTTTCTGTGGGCAGTGACCCTTGTATCTGTTTTATTTTCAAGGCTTTGCCATGCTGTTTGGGTCTGCGTGCTG